GGCTAAGCAGAAGCAGAACACGGGCAAGGACCAGCACCGATTCTATTTCGCCAACACCACGTCTTGGGGCCAGAAGGCGTGGGACTACCTAAATCAGTCAGATGGTGGCTTTGCTGTCTCGGACACTGTCATGATTGCAGAGCACCACCTCCAGGGGGCCCAGCAGGTTCAGGCGATCAAGAGGCTCAGTCGGTCAGGCTGGGCTGTGACTTCCCAGTCGGCGGTTGGTACAGCGCGTGGTGGACATCATGGCGGAGTCTCGGTCATGACCAGGAAGTGGTTGCGATGCGCGCCGCTTTACCCCGAGGTGGAGAGCAGCGCAGGAGGAGCGGGCCACGAGCATGGAGTCGCAGTGGACCAGCCAGACGGTGCGCATGCGTGACATTGATGTCGTCTTCGTCTCGCTGTACCTGGTCACGGGACTGGGCCTGCAAGGGGAGAACGCCACCATCCTCGCAGAGGTGGCAGGGTACGTGCGCTCTCAGGGCAAGCCGTACGTCATCGCTGGAGACTGGAACATGGAGATAGACAGATAGACGAGGTGGCGGAGAGTGGCATCCAGACCTACCTGCACGGCGTGTTCCGAGCTGCTCCTGAGGAGGCTCCTGGCGGAGCCAGGACGATAGATTACTGTCTGGTTTCAGAGGCCCTCAGCACAGTTCCCACACTCTCGTGGACAGGTTTTCCCCTTGGGCCCTTCCGCACACGGGGCTTCTTGGGACTTTAGACTGTTGTAGGTTTCAGCAACTGCATTGGGTCCTCACTCAGCCTCCGCCTCTGGTTAGAGCCCAAGGCCCAGACCTCCCTTGGGAGACCCATTTACAGAGAGCGGGGCCCCTCGTCCAGCGCGGCATGGGGACCGATCAGTGGCAGCAGGTTCCAGGCCAGGTGTTTGACCTCGGCAAGTCGTATATGCAGTTTTGCCTGGCAGCCGAATCTTTCCAAACCAGTAGGGACCCGTCCAGTAGTTTCAGCGAAGCTGACATGCACAGAGATTTCCACATAGATGTGCAGCAGGTTCCCCGTGTAGGGACAAAGCCACAGGGATGGCTTGCGGAAGCTTTCAACCTTTCTGTCTGGGCGGCCTTGCACACGCGTCTCGGTGCCTGGGTCGGACTTGCCAGGAAGTCGAAGCCCATAGGCAAAGCAGTAGCTGAATTCAATTTAGCTTTGGCCAGAGTTCAGAAGCTGCCGAGGCTTCTAGAAGAGAGGAAGGAGGAAGAGGTGCTCTCGGCTCTGGGCCTGCTTGGGGATCAGGCTTCTAGGGAGACCCTGGAGGCTGCCAACAGGAAGCTTTTTCGGATTCTGAGGCGGGTTGAAGCCCACTTCACTCGGCAATCATCCAGAGGATTTAAGGACTGGCTGCGACATTCCCTCACTAAGGGGAGCGGGGCCATACATTTTCACACCAAGACTTGGGGCGTGGAGGCGCCGAGCCTCAGCCTTGAGCACGGCCTGGATGGCCGAGTCTTGCACGACCCCACCGAGTCCCTTGCGTCAAAAGCGGAACTCTGGGGAGGCTTTTGGCTCTCTGGCCCGAGGGAAACTGAGCCCACTTGGTGGGGAGATTTTAGGGCCAGGGCTACTCGGGATGCCCAGTCGCGGGAACCCCTTTCCAGTCACCAAGTCGCGCATGCTCTCAAATGTTTCAAACCTGTGGTTGGGCAAGGAGCTGACTTTCAGAACCCGCGTGATTGGTTGCAGCTTCCATCCGAGGCCCTCCAAGAGCTTGTAGACCTCCTCGGGCTAGTAGAAGCAGAGCTCGCCTGCCCCCCCCCCCCAGGTCAGGCTCATCATCATCCAGCTAATCTTTAAAAGTGTAGTTGCAGACAGACCGATAGCGCTAACCCAGGGCCTTTACCGAGTCTGGGGCAGAGCGCGTCGGCAAGATATTTCGAACTGGGCGGTGGAGCGGGCTCAGTACTGGGATCGGGCGGTGAGGGACTCTTCGGCTCTGCGAGCTGCCATACTTCGGCAGACCCAGTGTGAGATCGCAACGGCGATGGGTTTCAGTTGGATCCAGATCCTATGGGACCTCGAGGAATTCTATGATCATGTAGACTTGCGTTCAGTAGTAGACGTAGCAGCTGGCGTGGACTACCCTCTCATGCTTTTGTTCCTGGCATTAGATATGCACAGGGCCCCGCGACGCCTCCGCGCTTCAGGTGCCATCTCCCAGGCTTTGCGTCCATCCAGGAGCCTCCTGGCAGGCTGTTCTCAGAGCGTTGACATCTCGAAGGTGGCTCTCTGGGGTATCCTGGAGGGCGCACGTGCCCGTTTTCGCCCCCTGGCCCTGGAGACGTGCGTGGATGACCTGAGTCAGCGGCACATAGGCAAGGCTGAGGTTATAGTGAAACAGGCTGCTGGGGCTAGTGAGGGCTTAGGCACCGCCCTAATCAATTCAGGTTTCAAGATTTCGGAAGGTCCTTTCCAACCCCCCTGCCCTGGCCAAGGAGGTCCTCGCAGAATTGGCTCGGCGCGGTTTCTCGTTGACGGGGGGCACGACGGGCAAGGACCTTGGCATTGTCACTGTAGGTGTGAGGCGCTCAGTAGCAGTACCCAAGCAGCGGTTTCAGGCAGCCAGCCATCGAGCGAGCAGGATCAAACGAGTTGTGAAGACGGACCGTCGTTGTAGGATGTTAGCACGGACTGGGTGGACCGCCCAGGCTCTTTGGGGCCTGGCGGCCCAAGGGGTAAGTCCGACCCTGGCCTTAAAAGCCAGAGCGGCCATGGCGGGCATGGTGGGGAGAAGAGAAGGGGGGCTGTGCTACCACGGTTCTGCGTTGTGCTTTCCAGGGCCCCCACCATGACCCCAGGATCTCGACCAGAGTGCGAGTTTTGAAGGAGTGGAGTCACTTGCTTCCGAGCCTGCAGGGGGCTAACCAGCATGGTCTCCGCAAAGCGTGGGGACAAGAGCTAGCCCGACTGCAGGGCCCAGCCACCCGCTGGAAGCGAGTGTCAGGCTTTGTGGCCGCCGCTGTTGCCTGCTTGCTGGAAGCAGGCTGGACGCCGCAGGATCTCACCACCTGGATTGGAACGGATGGTGAGGTTTTCCATGTGCTCGCCTGTGACCCAGAACGTCCCACGGTTGATTTGCTGGAGGCGTTTGAAGTTCTTGCGTGGGAAAAAAAGCCAGTGAACATTATCATGACAGCAGTCTGGCAGGTCGGGCTGACATGATTGTGCCGCTTCGTAGCTTGAACAAACTTAGAGCCTCGGGAGCCTACGACAAGGCTGGTGTTTTAGAAATGGTTTTGTCGGGGGCCTTGTGGCCCGCCCCGCGGCGTTTTGGGGAAGAGGCTAGGAGACCTTTCCCGAGGCCCCAGGCCCCCGATGAAGCCCCCCTCCCCCCAGATCCTCCGCGAACCTCGCTTGGCTTAGGCGAGGAGGAATGTGACTTCGATGCGATGCTAGATGAGGCGTCGCACGCAGCAGACGAATTTCAATTCCAGGAGGATTTGCACTGTGGCTTGAGCGATGACGAGCCCATCATTGGGCCCAACCGTCATCCCCTTCTTGCCCTCGGTGTGGAGCGCCTCAAGAGACCCTTCTCCACCGGCTCTGGAGTTGCCCTCTGAATGACCCCATCCCAGGTTTCAGCGCTTCCCTGAGGAGGCAGGCGGAAGCCGAGTCGGGGGACGCCCCGTCTTTCTGGCTCCGAGGGCTGCCTCCCCTGGCCTGGACGTACCAGCATGTGTGTGTCCCGATCCAGGGAGAAGAGAAGCTCTCGGACCAGCTGGTGGTTAATCCTTATGAGCTTGATCAGGGGTGTGTGATCGGGTCGGATGGGGCTGGGGGTGAGGAGGGTTCGGATCCTCGGCTGGGGAGATGCGGCTGGGGCTCTGCCGTCTTGCGAGGCGCCCAGCATGTAGCGTGGGGGCTTGGCCCTCTGCAGTGTGATAACCAGACAGTGCCTGCTGCTGAACTGTGCGCTATCACTCGCGCGGCTCAGCTCACCACGGGCCCCATAGAGTGCGTGATAGATAATGAAGGTGTCGTGCGGGGAATTCGCGCTGGGCCCCGTTTCAGGCACAACAAGAGGGTTTCGATGTGGAAGGACTTCTGGCGCGCAGTAGGTGTGCGTCCGATCACTGTGCACAAGATCCGTTCTCACCTTTCTCACGAGGATGCAGCCGCCCTAGGCTTCGACCCAGTCCACTGGCAGGCTAATCGTCTGGCGGATAAGGCTGTTGAGAAAGGAGCTGAGATGGCCCAGGTCCCGTTTTATGCGAGGCGTCAGAAACAGATAATTTTGTCACAAAGTTATCGGCTCCATTTTGGCGGTGTCCATGGCCCTAGTTCAGCAGGCCCCTACCCTTTATGGAGCAGCGTCCAAGGGCAACCGCCAGGAGGAGGCCAAGAGTTCCCTTGCGGCCTTGCGTCAGGAAAAGGAAGCGCAGCTGGCCCTCCTCGTGTCTCAGTCGTCTCACGCCGTTGAGCAGAAGGGGGCGAGCTTCCTGGCGCTGCACTGTGTGTTTTCAGTCCGATCGAGGCGAGCGAGAGGCTTTCCTTCGGTCGCCCTGCCCAGGCCAGCCCACCTCCATCCACCCCTCCCATAAGCTGGAAGCTTACAGGGGCGTGTATTGGTGCCAGCTCTGTGGAGGTTCAGGGGTTCCCATCAAGAGGCAAATTGTTGAAATTGGGGCGAACGTGTGCACCTGGCCTCACATATCATGGGAGGAGGGTGGGGCGGGCTCTGATGGCTGGGAAACTTCCTCCTGATCTTAAGGCTTGGCCTGAATGATCAGAAGCCTGGGTCCACCTCCTGTCGCGGCCTCAGGTTCCAGATGTCGCCCCTGGTTCCTGTGGTGACAAATGTGGATGGAGGTGGCCCAGGATTTTCTTTCCCTAGAGGGGTACCTCAATGGTCTCATCCCCCAAGGCAGGCAAGAGGCAAGAGGAGGAGGAGGAGGAGGAGGAGGAGGAGGAGGAGGAGGGAGGAGGAGGGAGGAGGAGGGAGGAGGAGGGAGGAGGATGGAGGAGGGGGAGGAGGAGGAGGAGGAGGAGGCGGAGGAGGCGGAGGAGGAGGGGGAGGAGGAGAATTCAAGTCTCATCTGCGATGTTGAAATACACCCTCCCTTCAAGATCTGTGTTCATAGGCCCCGACAAGGGGCCAACTCCACTGAGGGAATTGCCTCGTTAGGGGGCAAACGTGTGAACATCTTGAAGCGAGCCAAAACACTATTCCCAGGACTTCAACGCCACGGGTTAGCATGTTTGCTACGTATTGGCGATCTTGAATCGTGCCACAACACCATTCCTGGGATTGCAACACCGCAAATCGACGTCATTGTTATGCCCTGACAATCCTGATCGTTCCCCACTACCGTTGTTGATACGTGAGCCATGATAATCAGTAAACACGAGGGAAATTCTAAAAGCGAATGCGCGCGGCGCTACGGCGAGAACCACATTTTGAAAACAGCCTGCTCTCAATCCGTGAAGCTCTTGCACATGTTTAAAACGACTGTGCGCGGCGCTAAGGCGAGAACCACATTTTGAAAACGACCTGCCCTCAATCCGTGAAGCTCTTGCA